AGCTTGTGTGAGTCAATGTATTGGTTATTGCTCATCCAATAAAACGGTTTCTTGACTTGTCTAGGTGATATCAAATCTTTCAGCAGCAACTGGTCCACTCTTTCATATGGAATCATGAAATCAGATACACATGTATAGACTTTGGTTTTTTTTCTTTCATATTTTCAAACTGATATCGAATACAAGAATGGTGTCTTTTACATCTTTTACAAATTTGAATTAGTATTAGCTTAGGCTATTTCCATCTTGAGTTGGAAATTCTTGAGTTTGAATTAGGATTGTGTTCTACGCTTTCTTTTACAAGTTTGAATGAGGATTGTGTTCTTGAGTTGAGAATTCAAAACTTACGCTTTCTTGTGATTTTCAAGTTTTATAAAAATAATATTTTTTCTTTTTGAACCCCTTTGAGTTTATAACCAATTGAGGACAAATTTAAAAAAAATATATATAATTAGTGAATTCTAAAGTAATTTTATTGTTGATTTAGTATTATAAAATTGTCTAGAACCCCATTAGAAACTCTAACCAATGTACATGCTCTAAACATGTAACTAAGTTATCTAAACCCATCATAATATAATATTACATTAAACCAAAGGTTTAGAACTTTGACACATGGCAAACTTATCCAAACTAATCTTTTTGTTCACCACACATCCATCGGATAAAAGCCACCGCCATACATCCTCAAGCCCCGTTAAGCTTCTCCNATCTTCGATTAAACACCATCCTTCTGCCAACAACTCTTTAGCAAAGATGAATCCGAGATTGCAAAACAAATTTTCCTCTCCAATAAGAGTAATTGCATCTCTAAACCACTCTCCAAAAAAGGACACCTCATCCCACAACCTTAAACAAGGCCCATCATTCATAAGATCATAAGATCCTTGGATGGACAAGGGGAAGACATTACTCCTTGCCAAGAGAAGAAAAGAGCATAAGATCTTAGAAGAAGAAAATTCATTCTTATTCACCGAATCCACACTTCATACAAAGAGAAGCCTAATATGCTAAAGAGACAACAAAAAACGAATAGATCAGAGAAGTACCGAACAAAGTCGGAAAAACAAATCCGATGACCGAAAAATATAGATCTATAACCCTAAACAGAAAAACAAAGGAAAAAAGCATATAAACACACCGGACCGACGTTGTGGCTTTAGGAGCCCACACCTGTCGGCCGGAAGAACGAGATCTGAACTGAGAAGTCTTTCAGAAACGAGAGCTCTTTGTTTTAGAGAGAGAGACGAGAGAAGTCTTTTTTCGAGAAAGTTACATAACTACAAGTTGCAGAATATATTTAAAGATATGGATTTTTTTTTTCTTTTTGCTACCTTAGATTTAGTTATTGCTGTTAGTTTACGTTGTGATCTACTGTTTTGCAGTATTTTGTGCATATTATTTCAATTTATTTGAGTTTTCATTACATAATATATTTAATTGGATTTATATGTAACTTTTGTATTTCATAAATCATCCAAGACATACATAAAAAGTCTACATAACATCAATCCAAGTGTTAAGCTATCATCACAAGTGCCGCCAAATCTTACACAAATTTGTACACAAATCTTAAAATAAAATAAGTAAAAGATATTGAAGTACATAAGTGAAAGTTAAGTTTCATACACACAAGAGCAGGAAACCAAGATTCATATCTGTCTGATTAAAAGTTGTTTCTTTTAGAGCTGGTACTCCACGAGATCCCACAATCCTTGTGTTATAAGGAAATGCACAGAAAATATAAATATTTGTGAATCCAACGAACATTAAAGCAAGCAAACGAAATTCATAGTAACCATAGATCCAGAAACTTATACACAATTTGTGAGAATCTTCTTTGAAGAGTTCCACATTTATAAGACCTTTTAATGTGTTTATATCCTACACGAGAAAATAATATATTTAGAGATAAGACACATTACATTTCGTCTACTGATACGCAGGAACATGATACCATAGTGAGAAATAAAAGCAAAGATAAAAGAAGAATATTTACCTTAAAGAGGGAGATTAACTTACAGCATAACTATGAAGATCACAATTTTTTCGCTCTAATGCATCGTTGTAGAGTATGAGTTGCTGTGAATTTAGCTATAGGAATTGAAGTTGTTGGTACCAATAGAGAAATTATCTTCCTCGTTGGGTTCCATTTTTTTGTAAAATCCCTCAAATAAAACACCACTGAAACAACAATGTAAACAAAACACAAAAACAAACAAACACAAAAGAATTCCACATCAGTTTTCATTAACTTTATATAAACGACATATTATCAAAATCATAAAGAGTTGGTAAGAGATAAATAGAGTAGCTTTATCATAAAATCAAAAATCAGTTGTATCTAAAGTTCTCTAATTTCAACAAACAAGCTAGCAGTAAACTTCCTATAAGCATATCAATGTAAATTTAAGGATAAGGAAACCAAAGTAATTCAAAAGCAAGATTTAACTTCCTATAAGCACTATGCTAATTAGATGCCACACAAACTCAACCATCTTACACAACTAAGTGAGATGCATACCTCCACTAAAGTAAGTTTTCTTGATCAATTTGGTAGCATCTGTAGATTACAATAACAAAAATAATATTATGTCAGAACTACTCTGATATGAGTTACAAATTTTAAGAGAATCTCTATGTACTACTCTCACATTTCATGGAAAATACAAAGATATAAAGTTGCAACTACCGACCTGCTGAGCAGCAACACTATTATTGAAACTTCATAGATTAGGAACTGCGAAAGCAAAAAGGGTGTCTCTTAACCCTCGGACAGAGAGTCGAGGTGGAATGAAGATTAGCTTTTCCATTGAATGCGTTTAATACTTAGAGGTGATATACGTCGATTTTTTTCAAAACTTAACATCGAGTTGTGATTGGTTTTCATAACTGGAGTCTTCCAACCAATCCAAAAGAGATTATCAAAACAAATCATAATGATTAATTAGAATCCAAAACATCAATTGGACGAAACTCATAAGAGAAAACTTGATCTTTGTATGAATGTTACATTGTTCTTACTCGCACAAGCAAATATGAAACAAAATTAAACAATTATTTTTTTTCCAATAATCGAATCTCGAATGTTTCACCCTTCGTCTTCTATTCCCCTAGGTTGGAATAGTAGGTGACGAGAGGCGACGCGAAACATTTTTCTTGTTAAAAAATATTTTGGGGATTTTGGAAAATCCAAACCAATAACTTGAAGCCCCTCAATGATGTCTGAAAAGATCGCATAGAACAAAATGGATAGTTAGTTGGAACTTGAGAGAGAGAAGATGAGAATATATTCGATGTTCGCAGCCCACAAGCCACAAATCCCTTCAACACGGAATGAAATGGAGAGGAGCCACCTCGTTTTTGATCGTAATTGAACCATTTGAAGGGAGATGTTATCAGATTTCCAACTCTAAATCATAAAAGAAAAACGCTTGGGAGATTTTTCGTGCTCGACCCTTTGATATCCCGTGGAAAAGTGTTGCGCTTTTTTTTTGTTTTCTGTTTTCTTAAAACAAAAAACAAAAAAATAGACGTGTCGATCAAAGAGACCAGCCACGTATCACTCAATGGAGAGTGTTGGACTCTTATTATAGTATAGATAGATGTATAATGATTTCGATTTGACAATGATTAATGACTTTAAAATTTTTATTTTTAACAAGAAAATGAAAAAATGTTTATTCACTAATCTTATTACTTTAGAAAAACAAAATCCAACGGTCTGTTACCTAGGGGTGGAATTA